ACGAGAAATAGATCGCGTCGAGACTCCCATAACGGACACAACGACACTTAAGTCAATGTCTTAGATGTAGGTCAGCACAATTAAAATCTCCAACGCATGTCGATAGAAATTGTAATCTTCTGGAATGTAGTTGCATGGGCTTAAGAAAGAGTTAGAGTGTGCAACGTTGGGTTGGCATTTTTTTTTACTACAGCCATTCAACGAAAACACTCATAAGACAACATTAACTCTTCGAATAAAGGGTGATTCAACGTTAATTCGACGATTACGGTAGGTAAATCAATGCTGGATTTGCTAAAACAACGAGTTATGACATCGCTGAGACAGAATGTGCGCAATGCACAATAGTTGTTGAAGAAGTAAAAAAGGTTAAATAAATGAATGATGGTTCCCCTCACAAGGAGGGATCCAGAAATTTGGTTGAAGCCGCATTTTGTGAGTCAATTCCACGGTAATCTTTAGTAAAAGGCGAAAGATTAATACGAATGAAATTAACTCTGCGAAATGATTTGAGATATCCTTCAGGACACTAGCTTATGTTAAGCGTTAACCCTCACGTACATAATTAGATTTAATTCCGTATTCCTTTAGCTTACACACAGCAGGTGACGCATACTTTAGGCTGCAGAGAGCCCTGTCGGGATAAACATACCTACTGCATGTGTATCTGAAGTCGAGCTTTCCTGCGGAGAAATATGCGTGGCGCTAAGTCGTGCAGTGGAGAGCAATGGAACCGATCCTACTGAGACGCGATCCAAATCAGCAGACTTACACGAATGAAATGGAAGCGGGGACGAGTTCTGCGGGGAAAAAATGGTGAAAGGACTTTAGCAAGCGAGCTCTGTATGCCTCTCACTTCCGTGGTGTTCAAGCAGCCATGATGCATATTCGTGAGGTGCTTCCAGAGACAGCAGAATTTTTTGGTGAAAGTACGCGACTTCCTGGAGACTCTTAAGAGCGCAACACCAAGCTGTCAACAGACATCTGCATTAAGGTCCTTGAGCGTGTTCTCCCCTAGAACCTCGAAGCCATGGCTGCAGAACTGGCTGAAAGATCACGAGAGGAATTTTCCGATGGCTTGGTGCGGCTACTGACACAGTACAAGTCGGATCTACGGAGCGCATTGGACCAGTACATGCAACAAAGTAGCGGGCCAGCTGTGGATTCTTGTCTAGAGGAGGCTCTGCTGCAGTCTGTACGCGGCTCCATTCAGAAATGGAGCGTGATGGTGCTTCAACAGTACAAAACGCACATGCGGAGTTGGCAGGAAGAGAAGGAGAATCTTGATCGTGAGTATGAGCTTTCCAAGGTGCAGGACGCAGAAACAAACGCTTCTGCGAACGACCAGAAGCGTTCATACGAAGATAAATTGGCGCATGCTACAGAGCAGCTCTCTGAACTGCGTCGAACACTCCACAGCGAACTTAACAGCAAGAAGAGTGAGCTGGAGCGTCTCACGACCGAGATTACGACCATGAATCTGAAGCATGAAGTGCGTGTGCAGAACGCCGAGAGCGACCTCGCATGGGCTCGCAGTCGGACAGAGGAGCTGGAGAAGTGTATCGTTGCTGACCGCCAACGTAAAGCAGAGATCTCCGCTGCCACAGCGCAAGTTCTGGAACGCCAGCGCAGTTTCCACAAGGAAGAGCGATCGCTGCTGGTTCAGCAGAAGGAGTTGATGGCTCAGATTGTCCAGTTAGAGCGCGAGCTGGTGCACAAGAAGACGAAACACGTGCAGAAGGTCTTCGGTCTGCAGAACGAGCAGGCCAAGAAGGTGGATACGATGCGGACGGAACAGGCCCAATTCGAGCGACAGCTGAAATCTCAGGCGAAAAAGGACATGAACTCGCTCAAACTGGCGTATGAGAAGGAGAAGAAAGCCATACTCGCGGAGAGTGTAGCCTTGGACCAGGAGATGGCAGACATCCAGGAAAAGCTGGCAGTGTTTGAAGCTGAAGAAGAGGCGGCGAGGACTTCCGCCGCGGCTAGTCGAGATTTCTTCAAGTCCATGCCGATGATTTCCCTTCCGCTGATGCAAGCTCCTGCCCCCGCTGCAGGTGAGTATCAGCCAGCGCGGCGCACGAAAGCCTCGACGCCAAAGGACTCGATAGCTCCGGTCCGATTCGGTTCCTTAGA